TAATAAGATGATGATGATACTCCAAGCCATCTACAGCCACAGAGAGCTGTTTATTTGTTGATTGTATGTCTATGTATTAGAATGTCTATGATCAGAGTAGTAATGTGAACCAGTGTGAGTAAGTTATTTTTAGTCACACAGTTCAAGCTAAAAGAAGACTTGTCAGTCTGCAGTAAGGTTTGTACCATATCATTGTTTTGTATCTTTTCTCGTGTCAACACAATACTTCTTGATGGCTGACTTTTTTATGTTTCTTTGTGATGTGCAATTTATTGCAAATGCACAGGGGCATGCACATGCTTGGCTTTCTAAATGCCCTCGTCTGTTCTTCACAGCACATTAAACAAGATGGCTATAAGTCCCTGAAACATCCAAACAGACACATACTCACACAAACTTACTGTCATTTACTTCAACACAGGTAGACAGATAGATTTGTCCTCAACATGTTTTAAACGGTGGACTATGAATGTACTGTATTGTGATCACTATAAAAACATATATCTATTTTTGTTTGTTTGTGAATTCCAGATGGGGAAGAAGGGATGGTCCACTTTGGAAATAGTCCTTTTGGTCTTGTTTCTCTTGATGACTGTAACGGCTATCACTATGATAGTCCTTTATGCCACAGGAGAACCTGGTATCATCAAAGAAGGAGGTGAAGCACTTTAAACACATTTACAGTAAAAATGGATTACATACAATCATATTTAGTTTGAAACAAATGTAAAGTGTACAATGATATGGTTGCTTTAAGGTTTCTGTAGAACAAAACGTTGTTTAATTAGTTGTTTTCATCAGTGCCCATATAACTGTGACTTACACTGTTTGAAAATTAGTTTTCACTTTAATGCAATGATTTATTCAACTTGTTTGCTCTTTAAATAAACTTTCCATCTCTTTTACAGACACTGATTCATTTGTTCCTCAGTGTCCCCAAATTCCGCTATCTGAAAGAGTAGACTGTTTCCCAGATGCTGGAGCTTCACAGGTATGACTCAACTTCATCTCATGTAACAAGTATTTATTATCTATTACTGAATAAGAATTATTCATGAATTGTTTTTTTTCTAACTTAGTAATATTACTGAAAAACAGAACAGAAAAGCACTTTAGTTGTCTTGAGAGGAATCTTGGAGGTGATGATAKCATTGTTAATAGGAACTGTAATGGCAATGTGGATAATGGTAACGGCAGCAACATTATCTATTCTAAATAGCTCAAATGCGAGCAGCGTGGTTGCTGCTGGAGCCCTCAGGATGAGAGAAAAGTCCCCTGGTGTTTCTTCCCCACCAACCATGGATACATAGTGCAATCAATGGAGCAGCCAGACCCTTATGGTAAATCAACCTTTRGATGCAGTCCTTTCATACCAGTGTGCACCTACTGGTTCACATATTTGGATTTCTCTTTAGTTTATTTTCAGACTCTAATTGATTTCCTCAGTCAGAATATCTTTGTTTTTTTTTTTTTCACTCACTTTGCCCAAGGCATGACTTTCTGTGAAATAAGACATGGATGGCATATCAGATAACATGATTGACTTTTGCAGAATACAGTTTTTTTTTTTTCCATTTTCTGCTTGATCTCTCTGCCTAATGCGAACTTGGCTATTTTGTGGGGTAAAAAAAAGTAGGACATTATATAATACATTTGAACCAACATTGTATATTGCTTGGAAAGTGAAACAACGATAAGGAACACACACACACGCGTGTGCGCACACACACACACACACACACACACACACACACAC